CCCTGTAGCAGAAGTACGACAAGATAGCCCTCCATCCAACACCAGGGCAGAGTATGTCAGGCCTCCTGCAGCACTACTGTTTGATCTTATCGGGAAGCTGAGGGGGTGAAGTGTATGTGTCAAGGAGTTCGTGCCTGTTCTTCGCTCTTCATCATTGTGGTTGCCCCCAAGCAGACCCAGCAAAGTAACACTTGAAGCCATTTCTGCAGAGAATTGCAAAAACAGCAGAGGCTGGGAGCCAGTCAGTGGTTCCACTGCAGTTCAAGAAAACGCCCACAGAGTGGTAGAGGCAGCTGCAGAAACACCACAAAACAGAGCAGCGCACTAAGAGACAGGCGCACACCCCCACAGCAGCTTAAACCAAAGGCGCTGGAGCAAGGGCTCCCATGGCAGGAAAGAGGCCGCGGATTCTTTCAGATGGTATTACTGATGTGTCAAGGCGAGTTCCTTTAAGAGGGTTGCCTTCTGCAGAGAATTGTCACAGTTATTGCCACCTTGCATGGTCAGAGGGATCCTGCAGAGAGAACAACACCCCACTGCCTACTTTGAGGAAGGCACTTTTGAGATGAAAAGGAAAAGAACGTAAATCCCAGTACTCCGAGCTCAAGACTGAGTTTCTACTTCAGAGATTTAAAAAAATGATTTCCCTCTAAGGAAACAAAGGAAGTCCAAATTAGGGCCCTGATGGAGTCTACAGACCCTTTAAAATCGGAGGCGATACGGTCAATGGGAATGGAGAATTGTTGGTAAACATGATGATTTTTGTGCATACAAGTAAAATGCTTCCCTTTCCCCTCCAAGTAGAACGGCGAGACTTGGGTTGATCAGATAAACATTAAGGAAACCTGAGTAGATGTTTCAGCTCTCACTGTGCAGCCAGCTATTTGGCAGAAGTCTCGGGAGCAAATGAGATGCTCCTTGACTTTATTGTTGGGCATAGGGAATCCACATTGTAAGAAAGTGGACATTGAAAAGTATAGGTACCAACTACAACTGGTGAACAATGTCTTCAGCCATGCTCTCGGTCCAGTAGAGCCTGTCTATCTTACCTACACAATTTCATCTATTGAGTAAACACCTTACATGTAACCTTGTAAAGCTATGTATGAACAGTTGAAATATGATGCTTCCTGAAGGCAAAACTTAATGAAACTCAGGGTTGTTAACACAGCTACAAAAATATAATAGTAGAAATATAATAATAGAAATATGATAATATTTACAAGCAGAAGTAAAAGATTTATCCCTGGGTCAATTTAATAGCTACTTTCCATTTTCTGGAATAGGAAATGAATGGGCTTCATGCTGTCTCCTTAGTTCTGTGGGACCCATTGTAATGAAGCCAGCAGACACAAAAGCTATTACCATTAACTCGACGGAACACATCCAGACACAGCACACCTCCCAAATGTCACTGTCCAGAAATTCTGAGGAAAGTGTGCTATAACAAATTCTTCTCCCAGTGGTCTGGAGCAGAACCTGAGGTTTGTCTCCTCTAACACCCTTGCACATAATGAAGAATCTGGGAATCTTTGGAGTGTATTTTGAGAAACTAAGACTTAATCAAACTGTACAAAATGTTCAAGAAGTAGTCTAAAATTCAGCATAACTATATTGAGTATCCACTGCCAAGTCACCTTCTCTTATGCTTTAATATTTCCTTTCTTTAGAAAAAGTTGTCAAAGAGCTTGAGGAACAAACAGCTCAGACGTTAAGACCACTTGCAGAGAACTGGAGTTTAGTTCTTAAATTCCATGTCAGGAGGCTCACAACTGCCTGTAACTCACATGCTGGGCACTCAGATGCCCTCTTCTGACCTCCCTGGGCACTCAGACAAAATGCACATTAATACACACACACACACACACACACACACACACACACACACACACACGATTTTACTAAGAAAAGAAAAACTAGTTTAAGCTTATCTGAGCTAATGGGAGCCCACCAACTCTGACTGGACAGCGAAGGAACCAGCAGAGGGTGAAACTAGGCCCTCTGAATGTGGGTGACAGTTGTATGGCTGGGGCAGACTGTGAGCCCACAGGCAGGGAGACCAGGAGTTATCCCGACTACTTGTGCTAGCTTTTTGGAACCTATTTTTGGAACTCTTTGGATGGATTCCTTGCTCAGTCAAGATATAGTGGGAAGGGCCTTTTTACCACCTCAAAGCAATGTGCTAGACTTCATTGACTCCCTATTGGAGACCTTACCCTCTCTGAGAAACAGATGAGGGGATGTTGTGGGGGAGTAAAGGTAGTGGGAGGAGAGAATGGGACCTGGGATTGGTATGTAAAATAAGAAAAGATAGTTTTTAAAAGATAAATAAATTTATAAAAAGAAAAAATCACAATATATTGTCTTAAAAGTTGCAGATGTATAGTTCATCAGGTATGTGTGAAGGAGAGCAAACCAAAAGGGCAATGGTGGCCCACAGAATCTTAAGGCCTGAATTGGATTTATTGATGGATTCATTGTGGTAGATGAGTTGTGCATCGATTAAGATAAGTCACTGTGGCAGAGGCTTTTCTGGAACACAACAGGAACTCACCAATGCTCTGAGGAGATCAAGATCTTTCATAGAGCAGGTGACCACTCTCCCTTCCCTTCCAACTTCTTGTCATTTCCCTCTGTCCTCATCGGGCATCCACAGGTATGCTGGGCATACCGCTGGCTCTTTCTTCCCACATGGCACCTCCCACCAAAATGAAAACTGACACCAGAATCATCATGTAGCAAGAAGATGATAAACCCATTTAACATTTCCTCTCTAGGCTGATAATTCTCCCTGCTCCTCATGAGGTCTGTGACTTTCCCTGAAGGGCAGAAGTGCTTTATACCAGGCATGCCCGTTAAGTAGCTAGACTTTCCTTTCATTATTAGAGTTCATTTCTAGTCAATACTCTCGAAACTTCATACACATTGAATTTCCAAACCCGAGTTTGAAGAAAGTACCTGGATTCCCTCCACATTCAGAGCATGAAGAGAACCAAAGGCCTGGACGAATGGGGAAAGGAAGAAATATTCTGACCACAGATGAAGACCTGTACCTGCTGTCAGGGCCATAATTGATGTGTCTCCCGGGGCAAAAAGAGGTCCACGTTAGAAGATTTTTTTTTTATCCTTTTGGGAATCAAACATGTCGCTTTGCCTGATTCCCTGTTGGAAAGAGGCCTGCAGTGTCTGAGATGTGGCATTGGAGGCGTGAAGACTGGTGTGTGACAGCAGCTGCAATACCCAGTGTTCCCTGAAGGCAGTGGGAAGGTCCTGAGGACACAGGGGAGGGGGGGTTGACACATGAAGAAACAGGAGCTGCTGTTCTTCACGACGTCACTCTTTGAAATGACGCAGATAGAATCTTACGACAGAGAGAAGCTGCTGAAAGCTGGAAAAACATGTTCAAAGCCAGATACACAGCTGCTCTCTCAGGACGCAAGTATCTATGAGCGTTTTCCATGAGACACTCTCCCTGACCCGCTCCACTGTTCAAAGAAGGCAAGGGTCGGCCAAGAGAAGTTGGAGGAGACCTGGAATTCAAACTGAAGAGAGTCAGGCTCTACCTGGCTATATCATCAGCAGGCTGTGGAGGCTTGCACTAGATTGAACTGGCTCCCAGTTTCCTAGTTAGGATCTGAAAGAAGTAGGTTGTTGATGAAGCTACAGTTTTAGGACGCCACATGACTAGAGGCTTCTGGTCTACTAGGAACACTGCATCTCTCCAAGGTTTTGCTTGCAAGCAATTGCTAAACTGATGCTCTCTCAGTGTGAGACCTTTAGGGGATGTGGCATGAACTTCTCCACCAGCTCCCAAATTCATTCTATTATTAATAACTTCTCATACAACCTAGGTATCCACATCTTAGGAAATTTAGTGCTAGCATGGTTACCAAGGTGGAGGCAAATTTGCCTTCTGTGGTGTCGCTTCATCAGAATCAGCTTGGCTGTCCATGACAAAGGAGCCAAAGAAACACTTCACAATTAGACAGTGTGTCATATTTTGTTTCTTTTATTTTTTGACTTTGTGTGTGTACATTTTTTATTTGGTTTGGTCTGGTTTTTCTTTTGAGACAGGGTGTCTTTGCTGAGTTTGGCACTTACCAATTTGACTGGACAAATCTGCCAGGAAGCCCAAGGGATGCTCTTGTTTCACCCCCTGCCTCCTGCAGCTGCTGGGATTATTACAGCCTAAGCCTGTGTTCAGCTTTATTATGTGGACTCTAGTGGGTAGAATTCAGGTTCTTATGCTGGCACAGCAAACACTACCAACTGAGCCATCTCTCCAGCCTTCATTTTGTAAGTTTCTGAGTGTAACAGTATAGATGTTGAAATTCTCCCTACACTAACTCGTCTAACTTCCATAAAAATACAATGATGGAAATCATTTCCTCCAAGTTATGGATCCAGAAGATGACCTTGAAATGTTTAGATTACTTCCCAAATGTTATTCTTCTCATCTACTGGAAGTAGAATCTGAATCCCCGTATGACTATTCATCTGCAGCCATAGATCTGCCAGGGCTTTTTTAAAAAATCCTTTTATTTATTTATTTATTTGTCTGTTTGTTTTATTAAAAATTTTCACCCCTCCTCCCACTTCCCTCCCATCCCCTCCCCCTCCCTCCCCCTCCTTCTTCAGACCAAAGAGCAGTCAGGGTTCCCTACCCTATGGGAAGTCCAAGGTCCTCCCCGTTCCCCCAGGTCCAGAAAGGTGAGCATCCAAACAGACAAGGCTCCCACAAAGCCCGTCCATGCAGTAGAATCAAAGCCCAGCGCCATTGTCCTTGACTTCTCAATCAGCCTCCACCATCAGCCACATTCAGAGAGTCTGGTTTGATCACATGCTCCATCAGATCCATTCCAACTGGCCTTGGTGATCTCCCATTAGATCTGTCCCACCGTCTCAGTGGGTGGACGTACTCCTCGCAGTCCTGACTTCCTTGCTCATGTTCTCCTTCCTTCTGCTCCTCATTAGGACCTTGGGAGCTCAGTCCAGTGCTCCGATGTGGGTCTCTGTCTCTATCTCCATCCATCACCAGATGAAGGTTCTATGGTAATATGCAAGATATTCATCAGTGTGGCTATAGGAGAAGGCCAGTTCAGGCACCCTCTCCTCTGCTGTCCAAGGAACAATCTGGGGACATTTACTTGGACCTGGGAACCCCTCTAGAGTCAAGTCTCTTGCCAACCCTAAAATGGCTCCCTTAATTAAGATATATACTTCCCTGCTCCCAAATCCACCCCTTCTTCATTCCAACCATCCCATTCCCTCAAGCTCTCCCCATCCTCCCCTTCTCCCTTCTCTCCCCCCATCTCTCCTTATGATATCTACACACTAGCTCCAAGGAAAGTTACAACGTACTTGTCAAATGCTAATCTTCATCTTTGAGCCCAAAGAGAGGTAAGTAAACATTATTGACTTCCCACAGAGAAGGACGCTTAGGCCTGCACCATAGGGTTGAGAGATAAACACGGCAGAATGGCAACACTCTGGCAAGCACTTGGGGGAACTCACGCAAGACATTTCTCCAATGAAGTTATCAAAGCAAATTTCCTGTTATTCCTTTGGGGATGTTTTCTGCTTAGGCGGCAGATATGGATCGGAGGGCAGGCTGGCTCCTATCGTGGTTCTGAAGCCTTGCTTGTGTGAGGTCAGCATGGTCAGTTCTCCTACCTTCGCTAAGACTGAGAACCATTTTTGGAATCTGGCCAGGAAACGCGCCTCCACCAAACTCCTTACTTTCTGGAGGAGTCGTGGGTGGTGAAGATGTTTCCTGCCATTCTGTGCAGAAACAGAGAGTCACTAAAGCCCAGTTTCATTATCAGTGCAGTAGGTGCCCCATAGACCTCTGCCCCTTAGAGTGAACCAGCAGTTAGGACAGAGGATATTAGCATCACGCGGTAACAGTTGCAAGCAAGCAAACCTGTCACCTTCCTGTATTATCTACAGATGGTGTTTGCTTCCTTTGACGTGTATTCTTACACTCGGGGTGGGAGGGATTTCTCGAAAAACAATATTGTTGAATGCACCAGGGCCCTGCCCCCAGCCACCCTTTCTCTTTCCTTTTCAGGGCTCCAGGAATTGCTAAATGGCATATCCTGGACAACCAGCACTCCTCAGCTAAAAATACAGGAGCCTGTGCTTATCTCCGGCGAGGCTTCCTCTCCAGGGGCTTCACAGACGTTATCTCATTTGTCCTTAGAAACACCCTGTGAGGTAGGATGTTCTCCAAGAACTGAATCCCAGAAAGGTAAAGAAACTTAAAGATGAAAGGTCACTGGTGGCGCTTCTCTTCTGAAACCCAGCAGAGCAGCTCAGGTATGCGACTTCCAAACTGCAAAATCCATTCAACAAGCATCCATGACCTGACTCCAGAAACCTGGAGAGTCCTTACAAAACAAACACAAAGCAAGAGTCCTGGCGTGTAGGAAAAGACTAGGCTTAAAGGCAACTAGGCCCCCAAAGCTACTTCTTTGGGGTTATGATGATTTATTTGCATCTTTAACAAACTGGAGATTCTCAACTCCTTGATCATCTCCTCAGATTGCCTCTTCCTGCTCTTCCCCTAACCTCATCTGCTACCATGACTTCATGGCTCACCCAAAGAAACTGATGAGAACACCCAGCTTTCCATCTGACTCAGCAGAGCTGAATATATAATCACCCCCACCTAGAAAGCACACATGGTTTAGTTATATATATGTCAGAATGGATTCCATAATAACCAGAATGCATTTTTTTTATCATTCTCAACATTGTCTTATAGTCCCTTTCTCAAGACTTTACTTGGTCCCATGCTCAAACCTGGAGTCATGGCAGCTTCTAAGCCCTCTTAGATACACATGCAAAGGTCACTGGATTGAATATCTTCTGGATGCCCCCATGATCTGTTTCCTCCCCACCATACTCATCCTCAGGGAGATAGAGCTTCGCAGCATGGACTGGTGAGCTCCTTCCTCTCTGGCTGTTTCCTGATATAGCAGCTTAAGAGGAGACGAAAGAGTGTGTTATGAGTTTTATCTTACTCCTTTCTGCAGGATACTCATGGCCTGCCTGAGCCCTGGACAGAAGGCCAGCTCCATCAAACATTCCTTCAAACATGTCTCTTTGTCTGGGTTTCAGTAGAAACAAACCACTTCTTGATGATCACCAGCCTGGAAGTTTTAAAGGATCCTACTGCTAGCGTTGCCCATTCTTTCACAGTCCCTTTTGCATTTATTAAAGCCCACCCTACATTCTGCAAACAGTGCCTAGATTAAACTTGTTATTTAATTTAATTTATTAACAAGTTATTTAAACTTGTTATTTAAGCACCCAGGTAGAGTGGACCCATTTTCCTAGCTTCCTTTTCTGATCTTGTGCTAACACCATGATCCAATACACCTTGCGAAGGAAGGGTTCACTCCATCTTACAGGTTAGAGCCCATCAGTGTGAGAAGCTCAAAGCAGGAACCTACAAGAAGCACAAACTGAACCAGAAGCCATGGAGGGAAGCTACTTACTAGCTTTTTTCTCTTGCTCTTGTTCAGCTACTTTTCTAATAGAGCCCAGACCCACCTGCCTAGGAATGGTGACTCCCACGGTGTCCTGGGCTCTCCTACATCAATAACAATCCAGAACATCCTCCACAGGCATGCCCATAGGCCAATTGGATGGCAATGATTATTCAGTTGGGGTTTCCCTGGTGTGGCAGGTTGACGCCTTTACACTGTATCTTATTCCTAAGGGCACCCAAAGTGATATAATTACAGACTTCTGTCTTTTCCTCCTTTCAAGAATGTGTTGAGTTTTATGTTCTGTGCATGGTTGTTTGCATCTATGTATGGATGTGCACCATGTGTATGTCTGGTGCCCACTGAGGTCAGAAGGAATCGGATCCTTGCGAACTAGAGTTACAGATGTTTGTGAGCCACCATATGGGTGCTGGGAGCTGAACCTGTTTCAAACTAATGGGTGCGTTGACCCCTGAAACACCTCCTCAGCCCCTTCATCCAGTTCAGATAACTTGTGTCTTTTAAACCCTTAATACATATGGCCTCAATCCCTAAGCTACTTCCAAATAGCTCACCCTGTAGTCTCATATTGTCAGCATGCCCTGTCTAAAATGTCTAAAGTCTAATCATGCAAAAATCCATAAAAGTTCCCAGAGACCGTCAGCACATTGTTGCCTTCTATGCCTGCGTCTGTCTGTCTTTTTGGATTAAGTCTTTTATCTCTGCTTCCAGGATATCCTTAATAAATATTTATTACATGAATGAGTATTGAATAGGACTTTTGATCTTTAAGCAAACACTACTATTTGCTTTCACAATGTTCTTTTCAGTTAAGGTGTGGTTTGGGATTACCCTAAAGGAGCCCTCCCGAGGAAGCCACAGGAATGCAAACACTTCCATTCAGTGCAGGGCCATTTAGCTTGGTCACAGCTGTTGTCTTCACTCAGAGTGACAAATGAGGTAGAAATCAGAGCCTCACACAGTTCTTGGGTTCTGTTCCTGATTTCTCCACTAGTCCTGGCACTGTGACTCTGGGAAACTTGCTTTCTATTCTATGCCTCAGTTTACCCATCTCTAAAATGTGAACAATAAAAGCCCTTAAGTCATGAGTTCATTGCAAGGATTAAAAGACTTAGCACCTAGAAAATACCTCTAATGATATGTAACCAACAATAGGTAAGCAAGAGAGTCAGTGAGTATCTCTCAGTCCAGCCTAAGTTCACAATCCCCAACACGGTGCCTGTTTGTAGCTTGGTAGCTTATTCTTTAATCAATAGGTCTCTGTTGAGTATTTTTCCTTAAACGACCAACCCCTTTGCTGATGCAATGATTCTAATCAAAGCAAATCAAACCGAATTAGAAGAGGCCCATGTTTAATGTCTGCCAGCACTCCCAGGTGGCTCCAGGAAAACATGGAGCCGGAAAGAGGGAAAGCGGAGACCACATGTTCATTCTCTGGGGGGCAATTTATATAGCCTGTGGGAGTGGTCTTGACCTTCCCTGGGGAGGGGTCATTGTTTGGTGAACTTTCTCAGAGGTGGAGTTTTGACTGAGGTAACTCCCAGGAGAGGGAGCTTTGAAAAGTAACTTTCAGCCCAACATCCCAAACATGGATGCCAGGGGGCTAGGGCCCCCTAACTAAATAATACAGACTTCTTGTGTAAAGGGGTGCCAGGGAACTGAGGTGACGCTTTTAACCAAGTCTCTATCTGCAAATTTTCTAAGAACAGCAAAATCTGACAAAGCCCATTATTAGAGCCTATGAGTTCTCACATGAAGTTTCTAAAGCCTCTAGAACATCACATGAAGGGATATTATATACATTCTCATCTTTTCATTTCAATGGTTTGTCAGAAGCCAGGAGATAGTAGAGAGATAATAGACAATCAAGTTATATAGATGGATGCATCGATAATAGATTAGATAGATAGATGCTAGATGGATAGATAGATGATAGATAGATAGATAGATAGATAGATAGATAGATAGATAGATAGAT